AAATCTTCAAAAAAAAAAAAAAAGAAGTATGTGCCTCTGTTACTTTTCATCCAATCCCAGAGATTTCCCCTCTTGGCTTTCTCCTGCCCCCCTAATTTACCACCAACAGATTTCATGTACCCTCCTTAATCTTCTCTCCTTTGATTCTAAATGTACAAAATGAGCTGTGGAACTGCCACTCTCTGGAGCATTTTCTCATTCCATTGAGATTTTGCTTCCGGGCATGTCCTCAAAATTTTGGCTCAGCTAAACTCTTACAAAAGTTTTCTGTAGGTTTGGACGTTCTTTTGTCAACAAATGTATTCTGAGGGCAACAGAGAGCCGCAGAAGGGCTTTCCTTAGGGCAGTGTGACATGAGCAGGGTCGCTCTTTCACGGTCGTTGAGGATTTCTGCATGTCTGGCCTTGTGACTAATTTGCTGTGTGGCCCTGGGTAAATCCCAGACCCTCTCTGGCCCACAGTTGTCTCATCTTTTAAATAAGTGGTTGGCTATGTGACCCCAGCTACATACAGCACTCTGTGGCTCAGTCAGCACTCCTGTGGTCTGGCTCCAGGGTAGGCGCTGCAGCCTGCTGTCACTGGCTTGTGACACCCAACTGTTACATTGTCAGGAATTTTTGTAAGCTGGTTGTTAAAACACAACCATTATTGGGGAGACCGGTTAGCTCAGCTGGTTAGAGCGTGGTGCTGATAACACCAAGGTTGCCGGTTCGATCCTCACATGGGCCACTGTGAGCTGCGCCCTCCCTAAGAGAGTCAACTATGCCATTGTAGCATGAAAGCGATGCGTAACCAATGGCCATGGCTGTTCCACAATAAAAAATTAAAAAAACAAAAACACAACCATTATTAAAAATTAAGTTATATAACCTTTAGCTTGAAAAATTCTATTTAAAAAAAAGATGATAAATACTCAAAATTCATCACTCTCCTAATTATGTTATCACATTCTACTGTTATCTGTATTTTTTTTTTTAAGATTTTATTGGGGAACTAGGGGAGGGGAACAGACAAGTTGCTGTCCTTTTGTTCTTCTGTCTAGTTGTGGAGGACGTCGCTTCACTGGCCCATGTTGGTATTATCATTGCACTCTTCCCAGGCGAGGCAGATCGGTCGCCAGCGATTGGACAGCCGCTCATGGCGGCTCACGCCGGCTGCCGGCCACTCACAGTAGCTCATGGCAGACCACTGCAGCCCCACTGCAGCCTATGCCGTCCCCGGCGACTCACAGCAGCCCAGCTCCAGGTCGAGCTGTTGTTCACCATCTTAGCTGTGGAGGGCTCAATGTCAATGGCCCATGTGGGATCCGAACTGACGGCCCTGCTGCTCAGAGCTTGTGCTCCCAAGCCAACTCTTAACCAACTCAGCCAGCCCTGTTATCTGTATTATTGAAGTTACCTACTGTATATGTATGGCTGAAACACTCTGTCATGGAGGTCTTTCCAACTGTCAGTGAAATCTCCTTTGTACCTTGAAATAGACTGAGGCAGGAATATTTACATCACAGAAACTGGCAGATGCTACAAAACCAGGGCTGTTCTTCCCAGAGGGCTGGTAGGTTCCCACTTGCCATAAATACCACTCTCTCTCACTCCCATAATACATGTAGGAAGAAACCAACCCTCAAAGACTTCCCAGAAACAGAAATCTGGCTCAGGGCTGGGGTGAGGAGGGGGGATGCTGGGGGCAGAGGCTTTTATAAACCAGAGGAACTTCATGAGGTCAAAGCAGGGTTTCCTGCACGCACCCCCTTTTGGGGGCCTGTGTGTACAACCACAGCTGCATTGTCTGCACTGACCAGCAGCCACTAGCCCAAAGTGGCTAGTGTTGAAAATTTACTATTTTATTCACTTTTAATTAACTTAAATTTAAAAACTGACACTAGATCCTGTTATTGGGAAACATTTAAGAATGTTGGAAAAATTGGGATATGAATCTACTTTGTCAACTATACATTTTATAACATGTTAAATATAGATCAATTTTATGATAAATGGTCAATTTTATGACATCTAAATACTATATTTAGATTTCTGATGAGAATTTAGCTCCTTCATTGAGATGTGTTGTAATTGTAAAACACACACTGGATTTGAAGGCCTAGAATGAAAAAAAAAGTAACTTATCTCATTTTTATATTGATTACATATCAGAATAATAATATTTTTGATATGCTAGGTTAAGTGAATTATAGTACTTAAGTTAATTTCATTTGTTTCTTTTTGCTTTTTTTAATGTAGCTATGAGGAAATTTACAATTACATTTGTGGTTCACATGATATTTCTGTTGGGTGGTACTGGTCTAGAAACATTTGGGCTGTTTCTACCCACCACCACTTGCACCATTTGATATCCAAAAGCAGAAGTGGTCATAAGAAACCACTAGAAGGATTTTTCTAAGATTACAAATTCTGGAAGAAAACAAGCTAATCTTGTTAGATTGCTGGTGGGTGATGTGGTAAATGACCTGTGCCCATCCAGGGGAAAGGTCTGTCCCTGGGTACCACGGCTCAGGAAGGGGCCCAAGATACTTGGGCAATAGCCCATTTCTCATCCCAAAGCCCTGCTCCCGAGAACAGACCCCAGGTCCTGGCCTGGTTTTGTCAAAGACACCCACCCAGAAAAGCTGGCTCCCAGAACCACACAAAAGGTCTGGGCTTGACCACGAGATGCGTCCAAGAACCATCACATAGAAGGAAACCCCCAAAAGTGGGTGCATTCTTCAATCCTGCATCTCAGAACAACAAGACTTCTGTCCACTCACTTGCACACGCTGCCCCTCTATTTGGACTGCCTTTCCGTCTCATCTCCCTCTGGAGAGCTCCTATTCATCCTTCAAGATCCAGTTCAAATGTTCCTTCCTCTGAAGACTTTCCTGATCAAACAATGGTCCCACATCACATCCTTTGGCTTCTGGCCTAGTCTATTCTGACCACTTCTTCAATGCTTTTACTCCTGCTCCCTCAAATATGATTTCTTTCTAAAACACAGAATACATGTCTCTCTCTCCTGGAGAAATTGCCAGTGGGTCCCCATTACCTAAAACATCATTTCTCAAAGCAGCAGGGTCGCCTAGAAGGCTCCTTAGAACAGATTGTTGGGCACCCACCCCGCCCCAGAGTTTCTGATTTAGCAGGTCGGGCTGGAGCCTAAGAGTCTGCATTTTTAACAAGGTCCAGGTGCAGCTGCTGGTCCGAGGACTGTACTCTGAGAACCACCGATCTAAAAGATCAAGTGCAAACCTTTGCCTTGGCATTCAAGGCCCCACACAACCCAGCCTCCAATTACTTTACTGCCCTCATCTCTTACCACGTGCTACCAGAACCCTAGTCGACCCATTATCCCAACATGCGTTACCTTTCACGCCCATGCTGTCCTCCCTGCTGGAAACCCTTCCTCCGCTTTGAGCCACCCAGGTCTAGTGCCACCTTCCTTGACTTCACAATGTCTAAATCCCAAGTCCCCAAAATGAGGAGATGGCACTTTTCAAGAGCTACATGGTAACAATGCACGCTGTAGGGGCAGCTGCAAAAGAGGACATTGAGAAACGGGTTTGGTGGTGGCAGCAGCCCTGGATGAGAAAATACCAGCCAAAAGTGACAACTCTGGGACAGAAAATGCTGGTGTACTGGTACAATTCTTCTACTTAAAATAATGGGAAATAGACCCCCACTTGGCTTTTTTTCACAGAATGCCTGAGTTTTAGGAACAGAACTGCTGGGACTTAACAGAGAAATCTGTGTCTCATCTGAGAAAAAGATCCTGCTACCTCAGGAACCAAAGGCGAGTTTAGAGACCACTGTGGAAACTTATCCCATATTGAGTATTACATGTCAACTCCAAACTTCCCACTAATTTCCTAAGATATAACTAAAACATAGTAACACTCTCTCTATACATAATAAACGAGCATGCTAGGAGGTAAAATGCTTCAAATGTCCCCTCCTGACCCCCAAATCGTTAATAACCGTGCTGTGAGCAGTGACCTGAGTCTGCCTGCTCCCAGCTCCCGCACCATTCCAGAAGCCAGGCCCCACCCCCACCCCCACACCACTCCTGCCCCCCAGCCTCGACTCCCTCTGCAAAACGTCTGCTTGTGATTGGACAAGTCTCCCAAGTGCATCCCAAATGTCCTTGAGACTTCCCCCACACATTATTTTGTTACAAATGTACTGAGTTTGGCACTACAAATGTATTGTTTTACATATGAAACATTGGCTGAAAAAAAAATCTGGAGAGACAGGAGCCTTCTGGGAAGTTTGGGTTTTACAAACTGAGAGGCATTCATACTAGGTGCGTGCCAGTGGGGAGAGATTCTGCAAGGGCAGGCTTGTCCCCTGAAAACGGGGGCACTCCAGATGCCTCTGGAGTTGAGAGGTGATGCTAAGTTTGGAAGATGGGGCTTGAAGCTGCACCTTCACTGTGCACATCAAAATATGAGGTTGCAGACAGAGAGTGGGGGGATGTTAAAGGACCGCCATTGAAAGGAATCCCCGTGTGGTAACCACAGCAGCAGTGGTTAACTGCGACTGCTGCAAATAAGAGAACAGCCTCCACTCACCACGCTCTGACATGTGCCAGGTACTCTGCTAAGCACCTTCCAGGTACTCTGCTAAGCACCTTCCACGAATTAACTCATTTCATCCCCGTAACAACCCTATGAGCTAGGTTGTATTATCATCCCCATCTCACAGACAGAGAGATGGAGGCAAGGAGCAGCTAAGACCTTGCCTAGGTTATCCAACTTATAAGCTGCAGAGCTGAGATTCGAGGCCAGGCAGGAGAGCTTTAGAGTGCCTTCCTGCTCCGAACCACTGTCCCCAAGCCCAGAAGTGGGGAGTGTCTGCACAAAGGAGAGGGAAGGGGACCCAGAGCCCCGCTACTTCACCTTCTCCTTGCCCCAGCCTTTGCCCTCCAAGAAGATGCTGAGAAAAAACTAACGACCTCAGCACGGGACCATGAGGGCAGAGAGGGGGCAGGCAGAAGGGTGGCACCCTTACCCACAGCTTCCCGTCGTAGTAGTAGGCCCCCAGGAGCTTCACGATGTAGGGGTGGTCGCAAGTGGCCAGAATCTCGATCTCTATGATGTAGTCCTCCAGCTCTTCTTCACTCTTGGTCTCAATGACTTTGGCAGCGGCCAAGTCACCCGACTCCTTGTTCTTGGCCTGCAAAGTGGGGACACAGAGGTCAGCAAGGCATGCTGGGCAGGAAGCTGCCCCCTGGAACAGCGCAGAGAGCCTCGTAGAAATGGAGGCCGGATGTCCAGCTGGGGACCGCGAGGCTGGAGCAGGACATACGCTGTTCATGACAATGGCCAGTGCGGCTCACGACGCCAGCACAGAGGAGCACGCGTGAGAAAGAATGTTCTATGTTCAATAATTATGTGTATTTTTGAAAAGTACAGCATGCCCATACTATGAAATAAATGAAAACACAAGAACAGCATAGCTCCACAAATACGAACCTGGAAAGACTGTTGAGTTGTTCAGTAAAAAATCCAAGTCGCTGAACAATAAAAGTGATACAATGACTTTCATACCAAAAAAAAAAAAATGGGGAAACAACGCTTTCATAAATGCTCACATGTACATAATGCAAGGAAAACTCTGGAAAGACACTGCCTGACAGCAGGCCGGGGAGCGAGCCTGAGACGGGAGCGATTCAAAGGGCACCCATTCTCTCCATATTGTTTTAAAAGGTTAATAGGAATGTTTCATGCACTTATTTGTATCATTCCATATACATGGTAAGTAAAATGACTAAGGGTTTTAAGAAGTGCCCACTAGTTACACTGACATACTTCCTCCATCCACTGCACGTGGGCATAACGACTGTTTTCTTATTTGATCCAAAAGAGAACGAGAGAATTTCACACCTACAAGGATGCCTATAATTTCTTTTAAAAACCAGAAAATAAGTGCTGGTGATGACACAGAGTAATTGGAACCCTCGTGCCCGGCTGGCGGGAATGTACCACGGTGGCTCCGCTGTGGAGAACAGCGTGGCGTGTCCTCGAAAGGTCAAACACAGAACTACCACGTGGCCCGGCACTTCCACTCCTAAGAATATATGCAAAAGAACTGAAAGCAGGGATTCGAGAGATATCTGTGTCCAGAGCAGCGTCACTCACAAGAGCCAAAAGGTGGAACCAAGCCAAGTGACCACCAGCAGATGAACGGATAAACAAATTGTGGCGTGTGCATTCAATGAAATATCATTCAGCCTTAAACAGGAAGGACATCCTGACACCCGCTACAACATGGATGTACCTGAGGACATTATGCTAAGTGACACAAGTCAGTCACAAAAGGACAAACACTGTAGGATCCCACGTGCAAGAGGTTCCCAGAGGAACCAGATTCGGAGAGACAGAAAGTGGAACAGAGGTAACCAGGGCCAGGGGGAGGAGCGGGTAGTCGGTGTTTCACGGGCACAGAGTTCCTGTTTAAGGGGTGATGAAAAAGTTCTGGAAATAGACAGTGGGGAAGGTTGCACAACACTGTAAATGTACTGAATACTCCTAAATTGTACACTCAGAAGTGGCTAAAATGGTCAATTTTATGTTGTGCATAGTTTACAATTTAAAAAACTGAGAAAGGGAGAGAAATAACTGCGAGTGGTGCAAGCAATTCCACCCACGGTGAGGTGGTGTCTGGGAAAAGAGAGCAGAACCCACAGTTCCCTCAGGCAGTCCTGTGAGCCTCAGGGGCTGCTGGGAGCATTCGCCCACCCTGCTGCTCGGGTTCCGGTGTTTAGAGAGAGCACACTTTCCTACAACAGGAGCCCTAAAAGCATGCCATGCATCTGGAGCCTTCGGACAGCAATCAATTGGGAAGCACGGGTGAAGAGGCTGCCCTGGACTCCATGGGCAGCCGTGCTGGTCCCCACCGAGGTGCCTCCCTGGGGACAGCAGCACACAACACTCCCGCCTCACAGGGCGACTCTGCAACCTGATCCACTAGAAACGCCCATGGCCATTCACTCCCGGCACCTAGCTCCCCATAGATGACGGTGGGCATTCACATCACCTCATGTCATCACCACAGTAACCATTCTACAGGCAGGCAAGTCCAGGCTGAGAGAGGTCACGTGACTGGAACCAGGGGAGCGGCACCAGAATTTAAATGTGGGTCCCCTAACTTTCAAGATTCTGTGCACGTTCCATACTGTCTCAAGTCTCCCTATCAACTCCAGAACTGAAAGCCTCCAAGACCAGACGCCAGCAGATACACGTGCTCCCAAGCCAGCCCTGCACAGGGCGCCCACGACAGGAGATAGAGAAACCTCCTGGCCTCAAGGAGCTCAAGGTCCTGCAGAAGAGAAACCCCCACCCCCACCCCCACCCCGTGCCAGCTGAACCTCAGCAGGGAGCCTTCTGGAAGGGAGCGATGCCAATAGGCAATGTTTACATTCATGTGTACACTTCTTCTGTGTGGAGAAATGTTTCTGCTCATTGAGCTGCAAAGTCCCCAGGGTCCCACATTTATCATGAGCCCACTCTGCACGGGACACTGGGCTACACGTCAACATGGGCTCACTTATCTCCTCACCAGCCTGCCATGCAGCAGTTCTTATCTCATGTACAGATAAGGACACTGAGGCAGGGTCCCCTAGCGACTTTGGTGACAAAGCTGGATCTGGAATGCTGGCAGTCCTGCTGGCATCCACATTCTTCCTCCGTCACAGTCCCTTCCAAGTTCAGAGCCTCAGAAACCATCCACATCTGGCCCAGGAGCCCAGTTCAGGGAAGGCCGTTCCCCAGGGTCAGTCCTTGTCCTAGAATTCTTCCTAGAATTCTCCCTGCTCACTTGGCCCTACCTGGGTGGGGGTCCTCTCCCCTAGACTCAGTTTTGAAAGCTTGTTCAGGACACCTTAAAACCCCATCGACTGAGAAGTCAGGTGTGCTCTCTCTCCGCCCCCCACCCCCACCCCAATGTTGCTCTTAACTGATTATGCACCTGCCCTTTCATTTCTTTCTGATTTTTGTCTGTCCCACCAGGGGACCGACAAAACATCCTTTTAGACTGTACATCACTCACCACCTCAGCTCTGCCTCCTCTCCAAACCCAGAAGAGCAGCTAAGACTTGCTCCTTCACAGAGAAGGTGGAGGGCTTACCGTGTGGCCTTGACCGTGGTCTCCCAGCTCTGGCCAGAGCAGCAAGGGGCTGGGTTGAGCAGGGCAAAGGCCACCCCTCCACCCCTCACCTTTCACTCCTGAGAGCTGGCGAAGGGAGGTTGCATGTCACCTTTTCCAGGGTTTCCTGGAGGTGGGGGAGGCCCAGGCAGGGAACATTTTTTCCAGGCTGCACAAAACCTGGTTGCCCGCCACCCTGACAGGCAGCACTGACCGCGGGCCTAGCCTCCAGCAGGGCCCCTGTGTCCACATGGAGGTACATGCATTGCCCAGCACCTGGCTCAGATTTCACAGAGCCCAGCGCCTGCCAGAAAGAGCTTAGCAGCAGTTGTGGCACATAAAGGGACTTGGCAAAACTTAAATTCTTTAAAAGCCTGCTTGAGGCAGCAGTCCATCACCATGAGGCCCCAGAGGACATAATAAAAGCTAATTAAAAAAGAAGAAACAGCTAACAGTACCTGAGCACTCACTGTGTGCCACTCACTTCATCGTCCATCCAGCCCTTGGAGAAAAATATCAGCAATCCCAATTCACAGATGAGGAAACTGAGGTTCAGAGGTTCAGGTCACACAGCAAGGGGTAGGGGTGAGGGCTGGACCCCAATGTAAGCCTGCCTGAGCTCTGAATCACTTCCCCACAGGCCCGTCTAGCGAGTACCCGGTGTTCCCTGCTCATCTCCCTTTGCTAAAGATACATGACAACCACAGCCAACAGCGTGTTTGACAGCTGTGAATTACTGAAACCACCAGAAATGTATTTCCCCACAAGCCATTAAGGCAGGGTTGACCATCACACCCATTTCCCAGATGAGCAGACTGAGCCTCAGGGAGGTATCAGGACCACCCAGGACTGTGACCTGTGGTCGTCTCCTGACGCCCAGTCCAGTGTTCTCGTGACTCCTCTAGGCTGCCAGGAATCAGCTTATCCCCTATTCATTCATTCAACTGAGCCCATGTCAGTGTGAGGCACTTTTCTAGTGAACACGCCAGTTGCTGCCTCGAGGGGCCTTTGTGGGTAGGAATCACTGCCCTCCTATAACATAATCCACCTGTCCCTGGTTTTTCTGCAGCAGCACTAACCCACCCTCATTCCCAGGCCCCAACAAGCAATGGAGCAGGTGCCACCCCCATCTCTACATGTGGGTGACTCATCCTGGCCAATCAGAACACAGTGACGGGCTCAGGGATAGGGACATCATCAAGTCAGCCAATGAAATGCAACCTCAGAACCACTGCTGAGACCCATGAGATAGACCCAAACCCTGCTGTACTTCTAGCCTCCAGACTGCCTGAGGCAGGCCTAGGGCTGCTGGGCCATCCTGCCCGCAAGGGGAGCCTGAAAATGAAACTCGCTGAGCCTGGAACTGAAGCAGCAGAGTGTAGAGGGCACGAGAAGACACTGTTTGATCCCCTCCATTAATTTTTACACCAGGGAGGTGCTGCTATTAAGAGCCTCGTCTTTTATGCAAGAGAACTCATGCTCAGAGAGGTCAAGTCACTTGCCCAAGGTCACACAGCAGGTAAATAACAGGGCTGGGGGTTGGATTCATGCCTGTGTGACTTCGAAGTCCGTGCTCCTGACCACTTTGCCAGAGGTGCCTGTAAATTCTACAAAAGCCCTCTCTGGGCCTCAATTTCCCTCTCTGCACAGTAGGAGGGTGGAGAAAATGATGCCCAAGATCTCTGGTCTGATGTGAGGGCATCTTGGGGAATGGGCAGATCTTGAAAAGCTAAGGGTGGTCCAAGTGGAAGGGCCACCCGTAGGAGGTGACAGGCAGGGAGGTTCATAAAGAACAAGTGGCTCTCTGTGGCCTCTGACGTCCATTTCTCCCACCAGCCGAGGCAGGGCTGGGGTCCAGCGAAGGATGGGGGAGCTCTCACCCAGCCCTGCTGGCCGGCAGTGACTGACGCCTCAGCCCACACCCTTGAGAGCAGACACACAGCGGCCACTGTGTTTTCTGGCCCAGGCACCGCTGTGGGAACAATCCCCCCCCTTGTGTGGCGCAGGGCCCAGCCTGGAGGAGGTGGGGA